TTTAAGTAGTAATACTTATTTTATGTAATTAAAGGCAAATGCCATGTTCTTTAATTTACAATTTTAAGTTTAATCGGCTGTCAAAAGTTTCTAATTATAAGTTTGAATAAGTTTTACATTCAATTAAAGTTGTGTGTTAATATAACTTGACATGATCTGTGAGCTTAAGCGACATGTGACACTTATCCCTTTACATTCTATACTTTGGTATGTCGTATTAGTCATTAATTATAGTTTTACATTGGCTTAATTTTTATCTTAAATACAAGTTGAATTTTATAAGTTGTTTTGTGTAGTTTTTGAAAAGGTTGAATTTTGAAGATTAAATAAATCACGGAAGATGAGGTTCGACGTCCGGAAAATATTACAAATATTAATAAATCTGAGAATGAGCAGCGCACACTGCAGCCTGCAGCTTGCAGCTTGCAGCTTGCCGTCATAACTCACGTTAGCGAGTAGCCGTAATTCAATTGTTATCGCCTATTAAGGAATTTATACCAATAAATTTATGTGACGTCAAAAGCAAAGCTCTACGAGTAGAAATACAATTTTTATTACATTCACACATACATATGTCTTATTAATATTATAAATACGATTGTTTAGATGGATAGATAAATGTTTGTTAGAAGGTATTTATCTCCAGAACGGATCTTGATGAAATATGGGAAATATAAAGAACATAGCCTGGAAGAATACATAGTCTACTTAATATATCCCTTTAACGTTTATAAAACCGCGGGAAACAGCTAGTATTCTTTAAAGTTGATTATCATCGAAGATTTTGATTGGCCTTGTTTTACATTACGTTTTTACATCACAATTCTATATTGTAACGCTAATATAATTGTTTTTCTAGAAAGCTAGCATTCAAATTAATGTTTCTTACTTCTAATTATTAATACGTATGTATGTATGTGCGTGTTTCGATTGGTATTTGCAATGTATTACAAAGTGTTTTCGTTCCAATATCAACCGCAAAAGCTCTCATCAAAAAGGAAACAGGCAACCGCGTAAAAGCTTTTACCTTCTAACATTCCTTTCTGCGGCGGACTTATACTGTAATCCTCTTAATGCAAAAATAATCTCCGCCGACGGATATTTTTTCATGCCTGAAACTGATATACAAACTTTTTGTACAGCGACCTTATCTAGTTTTTATTTATTATATAAATAAAACTTGGAAAGAACAAACAAGCGTTGCGGAAAGGTTTATGTAAAGTTATCAGAAATACTTTTCATAAAATGTTATTAAACCTTTGTATTAAACAGAAACTAAATCGCCTATGTTCATAATTTCATTTTGTAAAAACTCTTACAAATTATAAATACCCAAATATGGCCACAGAAGGGGACTCAAAAGGGCCACTATTATAAAACAATTAGATCCGTTAGCGTCTTCTGTAAAAGAAGAAGTTTCTTTTTGAAAAAACATTCTAAAAATGTAATCTTCGTTTCCCACATTTGCTTAAAGTAATAAAGATTGATTACAAATAAAACTAAAAAAAAATCGAAATACATTAAAAATAAATAACCTACGGTTTCCTTTCTTATGTGCATTTAAAATAATAACTCGTCAGCGTTGTAGTTCTAGAAAATACAAGTCAAATTTACCTTATACAAGTTTTGTTGAGAGTGAGGCGCCCGGGGCATCAGTAACGTGATCCCATTAGCAATATCATCGAAATCGCTTATCATCGGGTGGCGCGCGCTCGCGGCGACGCCTGAGATTACCCTTCCCTTGTAATTTGAATGATGGCTGACGCAAATCACATTTTTCCGTCATTTGTGATAAAAAATCCTTATATCATTCTATTGAAAAGAACGGGACGTAAACATTATTTTAATTGCCACCTGCATGATGAGATCATAATTAGTTTTTATTGTTTCTTTTTTAAGCATTTATCCTTGCCTGGTTGGGAGGACCAAGCACTAAAGTTTGCGAGAAAGTATTCCTAACATTATCGACAAAATTTATATGAAGTTTGTGTAGCCCTAACGGGCGTAAAGTGCACCAAATTTTCGTGCTGGGCCTTCAGATCAATACCAAAGGAAACAAAAACATTTCATATATTAATGACAGGACGGAGTATTCTCGCTTTAAATATTTTATTGTTTTCATAAAAGTCCCAGTGATTCTTTTATTAACCGCTTTATACGTTGAAACGGAAAATGTAAGGCGCACTTTATGAATTTTGTATAACATTACTTTCGCAACGGAGTGGTTTCTTGTTTATATCTATAGATTTTATCCATTCCTTTGATAACATAGGCTTAGAATTGATATCCCTTTTATTAAAGTATGTACGAAAGATTTCCTTTGGAAAACAGCTTTATTAAAAGAATCTCAGACTAGAATAGGCTTGTAGAAATAGTAGTCTCTTGATTGAGAAGAAACTTCCAGAACCTCTAGACATTCTAATGGTTATACTTATAAACTAGTTCTAAAAACAATAATGGCTCTTGATATAAGTGGGCCAATTGAGATATAATTAACTAGCTGTTGATCGCGACTTCGCCCGTGTAAAAATAAAAAATAATTGGAAAAAAACATAGACTCTGTTACTCACAGATAAATTACCTTTCTAACGGTAAACGAATTTTTAAAATCGGCCCAGTAGTTTTTGAGTTATTTCAATGCATACAAAAATACAATTTTTTTATAATATCAGTCTAGATATGTAAATGCAAATGCGACTTAAATAAATGTCATAAATATGTTAATGTTTGGCCAGTTTGATACAATCTACTCTTTGCATTTAGCTATCTTAATAAAATGTCCGCTGTAATTGTCCTGTTTGAATTATCTGTGGAGCGGAGTTGGGGGCGCGCCACCAACATTTATTCACAAGAAATGTAATACTTTCGAGCTGTATCTGTATGCAATTAATTTATTTATTAGAAACCATTGTAAAACTGTTATTAACTGAAGTATTTCAAGCTCATTTGAACCATTTCTACAGTTTACATTGGTATGTAGAAGTTTTACACAAACATATACATTTTATAATTATAAAACTTGGAACAAAATCATGCTAGTAAATTATATATCATTACAAATAACACAACTCTAATAACGAAATAAGATTTCAAACAATAAATATAGTCTATGTTATCAGCGACATCGACTATCGAGCATTACGTCTGTGATGTTATACGGCCTCCTTGCTCCGCGGGAAATGTGATCAGATAACTGGAGACTATTTTCATGTCGCTTCTATGATTTACTTTACCATTGTGTTTCGTGTAATATTGCCAAATGATGTGATAACATCATATTTTTATTTGGTTGTTTAGTTTTATTTTTAACCTTTTCTGAGTTCGGAAACATAACGTTGATTCAAAGACAGGTCACGATAGTTAAATAATTCAACTAAAGCTTGTAAAATATACTAGAGGTGAAAAGTAAGGAAATATTGGAAAATGTTTTTGAACTTTTCAAACATGGAATTGAACTTAAATAGGAATTCCAAAGACCCTCAAAGAAGACAAAGGAATAGAGCTTGTTTTAGTTGTGAAATAACACGTAACGACGTCGCAATAAGGCAACATAATACAAAATACAATATCACTATTATAAAGGTAATTACAGCCATTTGTATTAACTTCTGTTTTGCTTAACTTTTTAAAGGTAACAAATATATACTAGGACAATAAAAAAATTATCAACTACAAACCATCACAGTTATGTAACACAATTAAAAATCGAGATAGAATCCTCTCCCTAAAGAAGACAAGCCGTATAGTTCATCCACTGAACTATTAGCGCCTTTTTGACTGAAACTTCTTCAGTCTGTCATTTAATATTCAGCGAGATTTGTCATTAAGTTTGCATTGGATGAGCTTTGCATCTCGCAGGTAACTTGTTATGCACGACTTGTGCTTAAATCATGTTTCTCTGTACTTGAGAGGTGATGCAACTTTAAGCTTGGCTGCACTGATGCAGAGTTATTGTGCAAAATTGAAGTAAAATTGTATTAAGTATACTTTTTTGCAACTGTTTAAAACTACTCTTTATTAGTGGGCTTTCGATCCGTTACTCGATTGTTACCTAGAAAACTTTGTAAACCTTATAGGCCAAACGTATCTCTATTATAAGTCTTCGTAATATGATTAAAATATACAAAAATGATAGTAGACAAGACAAGCTAAGGAATGACGTCATACAAAGCGGTGTCAGTTGCACGCGACTGCGGTTGGGGGTTGACGAGGGCGGTGGTAACGAGTACTCCCCGACATCGATGCAATATTGAAAACGTAACTAACTTATAGACAAAACCATATACCTTTACCAGGTAACTCAGGTTCGGCAAAAAATGTGTGTTACAATTCGGTAACATATTTTAAGGCTGAAAGACGCAGCGTAGCCAATTATGTTATAGAAATTGATTTTATAAAATAGCCTTCAGAGTTTTTTTTATTATATACTTATTATTTTACAACTGAATAGGCTGAATAGCCTACGGGTATACTTAAGTGGCAATTAGATCTCGTGTATGAGGTTAGAGCCATCTCGTAATACCAGATTATCTCAACGTACATAACCACATTGATGCAGACTGTATATCTATATGTAAATAACGCGCCGACCAATGTATTAAGAATGTATTAATAATTCTTACCTTTGATATTAAATTTAATATTGTGGCGTCAGCTCGTTCGTTTCGTGGACGGATGTAAAGCAGTCTTCCTGCGCTGAAATAACGGTAATTTATGTGGAATATATTTCGACTAAATCTGAATTATTACCGTTTTGGAATACAAGTAGGACACTGTTTCGTACCAATTCTCTTTGCTATGAAATACAAAAGCTGCGAACTCTATTTAATGACGTATTTCTTATATTTAAGATGTTTATACTATCTGCAGTTCTTATCGTTATTTTTTATGGTCTTTAAATGAAATCTCAAGTTTTAAGAAATTCGTTAGAGTGTCGCCTCCCATACTATGTAACTGTATTGGTCTTCTGTAGTGACTTTAGTACTGTAATGTTTGCGCAGTGGTATGGCAAGAATGGCAGACGCAGGTGACCGCAACCCGCGCTGCGCTGGGCGGGCCGGCGCTGCTGAGCTGCGCAGCGCCCGCCTCACTCCGCGACCACGCGTCAGTCGCAGCCTGGTACCAAGACGACGCCGTCCTCACACCCGCTGAACACCTCTGTAAGTTACAAATCACAACCAACGTTTGTCACTTGTCGCACCTGGATTATTTTTTTACGGTTCGGTGTGGTGCAGCGGGACCCACACTGTTATTGGATGAGGGGTGGCGGCTGCTGGTGCGCGGTGTGCGGGCGGAAGAGGCGCGCGCGCAGTACGCGTGCTCCGTGCTCGACGCGCTTACCGGCGAGCGTCGCAGGAGCCCCCCGGCCACCATCGAAATCGTTCGTAAGTATTCTTCTAAATACTTCGGTGTATCTGCTTGTGAATTTGTTTATTTCAAAAACAACTTTCTATCGTAGCAATGAGCGTGGCGACTGCTCCAAGAGCCTTGCTGCCGGGCCCGTGGGAGACTAGCGTGCGGCGTGGCGGCGACGTTGTGCTTCCCTGTCTCGTCTCTGCCAACCCTCCGTCTACCGTCAGGTAAGTGCCCATACGAGATGCACATTACTTGGGCAACAGCAATGTGCATCTTGAAGGTGCCTACATAATATGATTCATCCCACAACCAACAGCAATTTCATATAACTTTTTTTCAAAAGAAGATCTCGGCGCCGACAAGAATAAATAAATAAAAGAAACCTTAGGTGTTCGAAGTCACTACTTTATATCGCAGTCAACTTGTTTGAGAATGTATCAAATGAATAAAGAATTGCTTTTAGAGGAATGAAAAGTAAGGATAAATAAAAAAACAAACAGACGCGACGCCCGCGAGCGCCCTTGAGTCGTGCGGAGCGCCCTCTGTCGTGGTGCAAGTACTAATAGTTAATAGTTGTTACTATTTTAATTATTCTAGCCAGCACGTTTTTTTTGTTATACCTAAAGCTATTATTATTTTGTAAATACTAAATCTAAGGAGATAAAAAGCATTATTTGCGTCTCAAATTTTTTAACTCCTAAGAGTTCTACGGCATATATTTCGGACATAACATTATAGTATTACTAATGAGTAGAATTAAAGGTAAATTTCCCAAAGCGCCTATCATTATACTGGAGCGATATCAAATAGCCTACATTAATATCTTTCGGGTAAATAACAAATATCGGAGCACGAAGCCCCAAGGTAGCGATAGTCCGCTAATACGCAGAAGGGGAGAGGCGGATCTCGGTGTGACGCAGACTTTAACTCGACCAAAATTAATGCGCAGTATTAGCGACGTAATTACAAGGTTTTGTGCGATACTATCGTGGTTTTCTACTACGTTTTCGTTACTACCTTTGAATTAGATACTTATTTCAATTGTAGTTACAATCATTCTACTGTGTACAGGAACATAAATGATATCGAACATAACGCGGCTGACGTTCCATCAATAATTTAGCCAATTTCCGCGCGATCTGATTGCTTTTGCTTCAAAGAATATTTTATTTACATTCGATATGTAAACATCATTTGAATCGATTGGCTCATTACGTTTTACATTTGTCGTATGAACCTTATATCTCAGGATCTTATATGATTTTTCCCATTTTTTCGTGGCTCATAAAGATGACAACCAAATTGTTGTCAAACAATCTTCTATATTGTTACTGTATTAAAAGTAACAATAATAATTTGCAATGCAATGGACAGAACTTCATTACATCGATTTACGTTTCTTGTGCATTTTAACACATAGAAGGTCAACACAAAAACAAACCAACAATCAAACAAGACAAACGAAGTGGGGGCGCTGGCGTCGCCCGCAGCGCGCGTTTTTGCTGACCCTATGTCTGTCGCTACACCGACCTCATTAACCAACACCAATGAACACATTTCTTACATCCGTTAAACAAACAAAAAAGTTGCGAGTTAGAGAATGGATTGGTTTGTACTTTGGTTAATACTCAAATTGTTAATTCTTTTTACTGTTATTTAATTTATTTTCATAAAGTTAAATAACATTTTATACATAACTAATCTTGTGGTTTAATATTCGTTAACATCCTAAGTAAACTTCTCTGTAGGAACGCCCACGGTCCCCAAGGTTTAATAACAGAGTAGCTATATTATTTGAGCAATAGTATATTTACTAGTATACAATATAACTAATTAAAACATAAATATAATTTTCATTACATTTTGTTCAGAATATTATTACCTTACCTCGAGAGGGTTTTAAAATATTTCAATTACAAGAAACAAAATTCAGTTAAGTTGTTATAGTTCAGTGTCGAGAAATAAATTACTTTTTGTTACATGTTGAAATTGAATTATCATCGAGGATCTAAGATTTTAAAATTAGGTCATTGTTTTTTTTTACTTCTTTTTTTTTAACTCCAGCGTATAAGTTTAAAAATAATGTAGGTATTTGCTTGAGAAGAGAAATTATAAATACCTATAAAGGAAATTCTTTAGGTAAGGCGTAGTAACAAGAGCGTTGTAACGCTTTGAAGAATGCAATTACGTTACTGGCGATGCTAAACCGCAAGTTTAAAACATAAAGGCTGTGGCGGTGAGGTGAGGGTTTCTTTCAACACCGCTTAACTTGCTGTTCTGTTATGTAATCTATGGTACAGAACTTACAGCGCATATTTCTTTGACCTGGAACACGCGCGTTACTTTTTAATACCTTAATGAGTTTCTTTTTTAATTAATTTGTATTGTAGATTCTTCTAGTTATTTTAAAAAGAGTTTTGCAAAAAACAATCTACTACAAAAGTAGTTTGTTTAATTAAGCAATAAATTTTAATATGGAAAACAGCGAGAAAATGATTAGTTTAGGTAAATTATATATTTATGAATATTTAATGTGCATTTTATTAAAACATTCAATAAAACTGTTAATTTATTAAGAGTAAAGTTATTAAAGTATTATGGGTGAGGTATTACGTAAATACATTGCTTTAAAATTTACCGGAGCACATTAGAAGGGTAGGGCTGGAGGCTGCGCCGCGCTAATGTAACGCATTAAGGGCTGCAAATGTTACCCCTGGGCTCCGCTACCCCGTAAGGGTACAAGTTTACACGGGTCCACATATGAGGAAGTATAGTTTGTGTAGAAATTTATGCTGTATGTATTTTCCTTGTTATAATTATTTTACCCAAAGAACGACACGCATAGGCTAAGATTTTTTACATACAGAACTAACCTTTGTTTTAATTTTCATATCCGTAGATTATTTAAATGTTGCTTTCTAACTTATAATATCTTTAAACCGATTGCAGCTGAGCCTACGAAAGTGCTACGCATTAGCTACGAGATAGTTACGCCTTCTTAGGCAATTTCTTTTGTGCTTCAATATTTCATCAACATTTAACGACAAGGTTGTGTCTTACTTAAATTTTATTGTTAATTAAAAGGCCACTTTCTTATTAAGTCACAGTTAGTGTTAGTTTTTTTGTTAAAGAACAAAACCTCTTTTCATCGCTGCCACAAACAGTATTGTGCGTATTAACAATACAAAGCCACTAGTGAGGTTAATGAGGCGGGGTGCGGGGTCGCCGGCGGGGTGTGGGGTGCGGGGTCGCCGGCGGGGTGCGGGGTGGGGGGTGATAATTCACAAAAACAAAGAAGTTGGCGCGTGACAGCGCCGCGACGAGTGCTCCCCTAATTTGTCACGTTTGGGTCTCGTGCGGTTTTTTGCTTTTCTTTTGTCAACGACAGCGCAGTGGCACAGCGGGTCACTAACCACCACTTACGTCACTACTAATAATACAGAAATGACTACTGCAATAAAAAGCTTTGGAAGAAGGCGAATTATTAAAAGGCATAACGTCGAAACTTTTAGATATATCCTTGTTATCTAGGAGGTGCTTTACACATTAAACACATGTTAAAAGTTCAATTCCAGGTGAACGAAATTAGTGCTTAAGTGATGCGTCAATATGTTGTAAAACATTTGGGTTTACGGCGCAGTCCGCGCGGTTTACGACGCTTTCTTGTTAGTGGTAAACTACGTACTCACGAAGCTTAACACTACTTTAATGTCTTCCTTAGAACTATTCGTGCCTATCTTGTATGGAACAACGTTGTAAAAATACATTTACATTTTATAAACGATATACTCAATAATGTTTTAGTTATTTCATGATTTACTTTTTAATCTACTTAAAGTATATGTAAAATACTACTCATCATTGCTAAAATCTACTCACACCAAATATAAAATTATCAGATAGCATAATCAAGTCAATTTAAGAACTCCCTAAGTCAACATGGCACTCTCCGTTTATGGAATGTCGTTTAATAGTAAAAGTATTAATTGAGTGTGATCTCGCCGCGGCTCGTAAACAGTCCGGCAGTAACACGTGACGCAATAACGCGACATTAGCCGGCAATGGACCGCAGCTCCCTCGACTGTTACATCTTTATACGTCGCTAACTTCACTGAACTGACGTCGTTTTATCGACACAATATCTTCACGTGTAGTTTGTGTACTAGGTTAAAAGAGTTTTGAATGTTTAATTACAATAGAAAATAAGTAGCTTCAAACCTTCAACTGTGTCTCGCACATTGTTTATCCTCTCGGGACATTATTTGTTCCTAATTAAGTAACATCGTTTTTTTATAATCTGAAACAAGAACATTATACACTCGGACTAGCTTGTTACATTCACACAAGCGTTCATTTGTTTTTGACCGTTTTCATTAGCTTCAAAACATATAACACAAGCTAGGTACTAGCTATATACTTGTAGTAAATTGAAAGTGAATCGATCTCACAGATGCAAATAGAATTTTGTTTTTATACTTTATTGGTTAAAATAATAAGCCATCTTTGTGTCGACTTCGAAGTATACTTTAAATCGAAAGTTTAGAAAAAGACAAAGCTAGTCGTCGAGTTAAACCTAATTCAATTAGTGCGGAACGCTCGCGGCGAACAGTTCCGATCCAGTATGGAAAGGTTTCACCTGCTAATGGCCCATTTGCAAACTTCAACGAGTCGCTTTACAGTATAAAATGAAATAATTGAAAACCTTACTTTAAGCCGAGCATCAATGTGTTAGTTATTCATGTGTTGCTACGAGATTATACTTTGTACTTTATTAAAAATATTTTTTTGTCACCAAGCGTGTAAGACACGTAAATTCAAATGTTATTCTTGTTTCTTGATCCACTTCTTGATCTAAATATTTACGGTTAACTAACCAACTTCATTCTACATGCTTAAGTTAATTCAATCGCCTCGAGGTGTTTTAGCCAACTTACTAAATAACTGCCCTGCGGCAGGGTTCATCAATTACGTTCCGGTCCTTTTTTACTGTTGACCCTAGGAAAGTAAACTAATTTCGATCTGGACCTACTGGTAAACGTAACATAAGTTACAGAGGCATAAATAACATTATAAAATACCTGTAAAAGGAACTCAGATCAAGAGCTGACAAGAATATTCGTCTTCTAAGTCACTTATTCAAACTTTTATTTAACTTGAAACAATTTTTTTTAATAATCAGAGAGTTCTAGTATATTTAAGAATAAAATAGCCACTACCTTTGCTT